CCCCCCCCCCCCCCCATAACTTTTCTAATCAGGGTCCATCCTAAATAGCTTCATTATGGACCCGTGCTGTTTCACAAAATGTTACAAGCGTTTTTGATTATCTTGAAACAGTTCCAAAGGGCAACCTACTGTTGAAGTTTTTTTTTTGTACGATACCGTAGTAACGCGTTTTCCAGTCCAACTGATTTTAGGGACTTATAATATGGACTACGAATTAACACTTGAGACAGCCTTTTAAGGCTAGGACGAATACACGGTTCTTTGATCAGCGGTCGATCAAAATAACGCGGTAGGTACTTGATGTATGGGGAGTACCTACCAACAACGTTAGCTCCCCAATTTCCCGCGAAATTTACTTGGCCGTGAAAACTAAAAGCAGGACTAAAAGCAACCATATATCAGGGAAGTCAAGCTTCGAAACATTTTAATGTGCAGTTCATAATGGTTCAAATAATGATCTCAATGTAAGTATCGAAGAAAATCCTGGTATGTTATCGTCTATGAAGCCTTAAAACTCAACGCCGTCATGTTTCTTCTTTCAATATTCCTTCCAACGATCTTAGCACGAGATGTAAGCTAAAAGTATCAGGTTGTTGTTGTGTTCTTTGTTGATCAGGGCTCCAGAGGTCGATAACTGGATGATTATCGAGCTTCAAGGAACACTAGAGACTAAAGAGGACGTCAGTTTGGAAGGAAAGGCCATTGGCGACTTACATTTCGACGCAAAGGTCGGTGCATGGTGACTGGTCGTTTCGCTAATGCATCAGTCTATTATAACTACGCCCCCATCTCCCCCCCGGGCTATTGCGGGGCATTAGCCCGCCTTTTCATTCCCGTGGGTGGGGCATTAGCAAATTTTGCGATGCCCGGGGGTCGGGCATTTGCCAACCCCGGGGCCAGCCCCGAGCTTTTGACACCTGGTTTCCTATCTAAAGATTACTACACAGAGGAGTTTACTGGAAAAACGAGCAGATTGGCTCATCTGGTTGGGGGGTGGGGTTGGCTGGGTGGAGCTGGAATTCAATTGACGAATACATAACGTCCCATTCGCTAACATCTTATGTCATCCCGCTAAGAAACGAAATGAGTGCTGTGCATGTATATGAAATTATGTCAATAATATCAGGAATTTCTCTTAAAGCTCTTAAAATGCTTGGACATATAGAGAGACTGATCATTTGTTACATCCTGGGTGGCCTGGGAGGGGGGGGAAGTGAGTTGTGTTTATCTATAAAACTAAGTGTATCAAAAATGTACTCTCTTTAAACCCCACCCCCCTCACATTTTGACATGGAAAAATTCCTCTCACTCTTTGATAAAAATCATCCCCCACCCTCCCCCAAAGAACTTCTTCATCTCTCCACCCCCAAAATGAACAAGTAGTCCCTTTTTATAGCTCACATGCTATGAAAACACGCTAACCTCATTTTGCCGGGTCACTTAGCCTGCCCTTTGGGGTGTTAGATGTAGCTAAATGTAATTTAAACATGAGAAAATGCTGACCAGCAATCTCCACCGCTAATTGTATGTGAGGGCGGTCTTAGTCTTTAGCAGGACTTTAGTAACATTATTTTACAGTGCTCTTGCAGAAGTAATTCATTTTGCTCACGTTACCCTCGTGTGCAGTAGCCTTAGCTGTTTTTACCCCCAGCCTTCCCTCCCCTTTGGATGTTTGTCTTGATAAGTATCTGTGCATTTCTCCACTGAGATTCTCAGTGTGACGGTGCATGGTGGGTGCTGCTCACAGGGTTTTCATGGTTACCTTCTAGGCTCGCTTGCGGCTCACTTCGGTTTCACCAGGTTCCTTCCCCACGCCCATCTTTTGTTGATTGGTTTAAAAGGAGAGAAACTTTCAGTATGTTAACTTTTCAATGACAAATTTTTAAATGTAATCTAAATTTTGAGCTAGTAGCTGAAGCAACATCTTGCACTAACCTGCTTTCCATTGATATCATGTTTGTTGACTTAAAATTTTAATTTCTTTTGTTTCTTGCCATTGTTTTTGTAGGGAACACCTATGCTTATTATTGGACACCATTTACTTGCTGGTAAAGTAGTGGATCTGGACAAACCCTATGCTGTGTTACACAAGAAAGCAAATATAGCTGAAAACGACAATGGAAGAAAAGGAGATACACACTATGACATATGCGCTTTGGTGAAAAAGAAAATTATCTTTAAGACCAGACCCAAGCCAATTGTATTCAAGTCTGTTCCTATTTCCAGGTGACATAAGGAATCAATTTTATGTACTATTGTTATAGTACTTTGTCAGAATATTATGCAATGCTCCATTCACACCAACTAAACATGTTTAATTAAACCAGGTTTTTAAAAATGAAAAAACTGACATGGACAACTGGAACACAGGGTTTCACACAGGATTCAAATGAAATTCAAGATTTGTAATTTGCACTAAATTTGCAATCAATTTAAGTTAGTTAGCAGCTTATATGAAGGAAAGAAAATTCAAACTGTTCAACTAAACAGCTTTTAAACATGTTGAAGCTTTGGTGTGAACGGGATGATTGGCAAATATTTACCTCAGCTAGGAGGACCTGTTTATTTAATGGACTGGCATCTGCTAAAAAATATCAAGCGAACCATTGTACTCCAATCTATCTCATGTTTCTAGTTGATAAGTGTCATTAAAATATCAATAATTTATCTTTCATGTGGCAGAGTATCAAAGGTATTGAGTCTAGCATGTGTGCTTGGTGTATTGGGTGTGACTGTGAAAACTATGCTGAGTGAGATAAGCAAATCAGGGGCCTGTTTCTCGAAAGTCCCGATAATTAACGGGCCCGGTAAGCTGTCTCCGTTTACATTAATGACTGAGGTTTCAATAGTTTTGCATCTAGCATGATAAAACTATCAGTTAGTGAAACAGAATGGAGTAGTCTGCTAGCCAGGACCGGCGCTCTTATTCTTTATATTTCGATTTGAATATCTGTTTTCGGGCCCGAAAAGTTACCCCGACTTTCGAGAAACGGGCCCCAGAGCATTTATTATTCTTTTCTTTCTTGCGCATCATGATTCAAATCAAGACACTTGCATGGACATAACACAAGAAACAGTTACTTACCTAGAATTCTAAACCAAAAACAGAATGGGGAAAAAGGACAACTTACCATAGGTACATTAGTGACTGGTCAACTCTTCCGAATTTTTTAAGGAAACCTATGCCTTGCAAAATTTTTAAACGGGACCTAAAAAAGTTTTTAAGAGCCAAATATTGTAGTTTGTAAATTTTCATTTCATCCTTTTAGTTGTTAGCCTTTGTTTTCGTGATAGTTAAATCTTTTAGTCTGATTGTATTTTTATTACTTTATTTGCCTTTTTTAGTCACCTAGCCTTTTTAGCCTTTTAACTTTATAACCACTCATTTTTTAGATATTTTGATTATTAGTAGTTTTAATATTATTTAATCTTAGTCAGAGGACCTCCCTGAAAACCACTTTATGTGATGGGAGTTTCCTCTATAAAGATTAATTATTTATTTTATTTTTTTTATTTTATGCACGTACAGTTATCTCGAGTATCATCAAACCTTAAAAATGACACTCGTTTGTATCCTCCCACTCAGATTTTCGTAGGGCTTTGTTACACTCCCCCCCTCCCCCCCCCCATGTTCATTCATTTGTGGTAAATTTATCTACCACCCCTTTGTCAGAGTGTCAGTTTACATATCAGAAAGGCTCTTCTCATTCTTTTTTATCTTTACCTTTCAAAAAGAAGAAAGATATTACAGAATATTCTTTGCTCTATTTAAACACCTTTCCTTGAAACAAAACTAACAAGAAACCATGCACTGTAGTCAAAATGATTTTATTTTCTGTTTACGTCACTTGAAGGCCGATGTCATTGGACCACACTGTTACAAAAAGTATACTTATTCTTACATCTTTACACTGAGGCCAATAATGCAAAATCTCTGTTCCAGTTCTCTAACAATAAATTAATGTAATTTGGGTGTAGTTGAAATTCAAACAATGATGGCCTGTAGTTCTTCTTTTTGACTGCAAGATGCAGCATTGCAGTTAAATGTTGCAAACATTGCACTGTGTCTTGGCAATTATAATAACAGAAGCATTGACATGTCACAATAATTATTGCATTATGAGGCAAGTTAAATTTCTTGTGTATGTGTCACTCCATCCTTACAAGGTTCCTTAATGTCGTAGTTTTTTATTTATACCATATTATATCAAACATTTTTTTTTCACTGATTGCGTCCACGTAAAATGCGAGGTCTGGCACGTGGAAGACAGCGAGGAGTGACATTTGGTGAGTCAGAAGGTGAATTACATGGGGTCTCTTGTGGTGATTTTGACTTGCGAGTTTTTTTAACATGGCATTTTCTACAAAGTAGATGCTGGTCTTTAGGATAACACTGCTGCTTGCTTGACAACTGAAGTCCACACTCCTGAAAAATATGGAAATAAACTTTTTTTACTCATTGACAGTATTTATTACAGAGGTGGATTAGATGGATTTTTGTAAGGTAGCATAAGGTGCCCCAGCAGACATAGAGAGTAAAAAATGTAAAAGACTAAGTCAGTGACACATGGCACAAAAATTCACTCAAAGACTATGTAACTCTCTCCTTCGGTGCATATAATGATCTTTCTGCTTCACAAATATATAGGAAGACCTACTTAATACAAAGAATCTTATGACATCACAGTTTGCACAAAAACCTGCTGTTTTTGAAAAGATCAAAGCAGTATGAAATCCACCATCACCGAGTGTACAATATTGAAATCTGGTAATTTTATTATTAAAGCATTTTAGCTCTGATTCTTGCCTCTCCTTGTCATGAAATGCTTCAACTACTAACCTCACATCTAAAGCAGTCAATGTGGAAATCTTTCCCCATTGATACCACTCTAAGAATCTCCTCTTTGTTCTGCAAGATATTAGGCAAGCAGCTGTGATGTTATTCTGAACACAAAACAGCTCAAAATAGGATAGCCCAAAACTGATGCACAACAGCTCACCTTCGCAGGGGCAATGAGTTGCTTGCACACAGCACAGGTTGGACAAAATTTTCTAGAACAGTAAAAGAATAACTGTGTTCATTTTCAGTGCTTTTAAAGAAGTGGAGTAATTTTGCTTCAGAATTTTCAATTTACCTTTGGTAGTCAGGAACACAGTATATTCGACTTTCTTGATCCCAAGTAAAGGGGATGCCATCTAATTCTATTTGACAAACTGAACATCTGAAACATGAAGGATGGTAACATCTTCCCAGTGCTTGGACCATTGATATCATGTTTGTTGACTTAAAATTTTAATTTCTTTTGTTTCTTGCCATTGTTTTTGTAGGGAACACCTATGCTTATTATTGGACACCATTTACTTGCTGGTAAAGTAGTGGATCTGGACAAACCCTATGCTGTGTTACACAAGAAAGCAAATATAGCTGAAAACGACAATGGAAGAAAAGGAGATACACACTATGACATATGCGCTTTGGTGAAAAAGAAAATTATCTTTAAGACCAGACCCAAGCAAATTGTATTCAAGTCTGTTCCTATTTCCAGGTGACATAAGGAATCAATTTTATGTACTATTGTTATAGTACTTTGTCAGAATATTATGCAATGCTCCATTCACACCAACTAAACATGTTTAATTAAACCAGGTTTTTAAAAATGAAAAAACTGACATGGACAACTGGAACACAGGGTTTCACACAGGATTCAAATGAAATTCAAGATTTGTAATTTGCACTAAATTTGCAATCAATTTAAGTTAGTTAGCAGCTTATATGAAGGAAAGAAAATTCAAACTGTTCAACTAAACAGCTTTTAAACATGTTGAAGCTTTGGTGTGAACGGGATGATTGGCAAATATTTACCTCAGCTAGGAGGACCTGTTTATTTAATGGACTGGCATCTGCTAAAAAATATCAAGCGAACCATTGTACTCCAATCTATCTCATGTTTCTAGTTGATAAGTGTCATTAAAATATCAATAATTTATCTTTCATGTGGCAGAGTATCAAAGGTATTGAGTCTAGCATGTGTGCTTGGTGTATTGGGTGTGACTGTGAAAACTATGCTGAGTGAGATAAGCAAATCAGGGGCCTGTTTCTCGAAAGTCCCGATAATTAACGGGCCCGGTAAGCTGTCTCCGTTTACATTAATGACTGAGGTTTCAATAGTTTTGCATCTAGCATGATAAAACTATCAGTTAGTGAAACAGAATGGAGTAGTCTGCTAGCCAGGACCGGCGCTCTTATTCTTTATATTTCGATTTGAATATCTGTTTTCGGGCCCGAAAAGTTACCCCGACTTTCGAGAAACGGGCCCCAGAGCATTTATTATTCTTTTCTTTCTTGCGCATCATGATTCAAATCAAGACACTTGCATGGACATAACACAAGAAACAGTTACTTACCTAGAATTCTAAACCAAAAACAGAATGGGGAAAAAGGACAACTTACCATAGGTACATTAGTGACTGGTCAACTCTTCCGAATTTTTTAAGGAAACCTATGCCTTGCAAAATTTTTAAACGGGACCTAAAAAAGTTTTTAAGAGCCAAATATTGTAGTTTGTAAATTTTCATTTCATCCTTTTAGTTGTTAGCCTTTGTTTTCGTGATAGTTAAATCTTTTAGTCTGATTGTATTTTTATTACTTTATTTGCCTTTTTTAGTCACCTAGCCTTTTTAGCCTTTTAACTTTATAACCACTCATTTTTTAGATATTTTGATTATTAGTAGTTTTAATATTATTTAATCTTAGTCAGAGGACCTCCCTGAAAACCACTTTATGTGATGGGAGTTTCCTCTATAAAGATTAATTATTTATTTTATTTTTTTTATTTTATGCACGTACAGTTATCTCGAGTATCATCAAACCTTAAAAATGACACTCGTTTGTATCCTCCCACTCAGATTTTCGTAGGGCTTTGTTACACTCCCCCCCTCCCCCCCCCCATGTTCATTCATTTGTGGTAAATTTATCTACCACCCCTTTGTCAGAGTGTCAGTTTACATATCAGAAAGGCTCTTCTCATTCTTTTTTATCTTTACCTTTCAAAAAGAAGAAAGATATTACAGAATATTCTTTGCTCTATTTAAACACCTTTCCTTGAAACAAAACTAACAAGAAACCATGCACTGTAGTCAAAATGATTTTATTTTCTGTTTACGTCACTTGAAGGCCGATGTCATTGGACCACACTGTTACAAAAAGTATACTTATTCTTACATCTTTACACTGAGGCCAATAATGCAAAATCTCTGTTCCAGTTCTCTAACAATAAATTAATGTAATTTGGGTGTAGTTGAAATTCAAACAATGATGGCCTGTAGTTCTTCTTTTTGACTGCAAGATGCAGCATTGCAGTTAAATGTTGCAAACATTGCACTGTGTCTTGGCAATTATAATAACAGAAGCATTGACATGTCACAATAATTATTGCATTATGAGGCAAGTTAAATTTCTTGTGTATGTGTCACTCCATCCTTACAAGGTTCCTTAATGTCGTAGTTTTTTATTTATACCATATTATATCAAACATTTTTTTTTCACTGATTGCGTCCACGTAAAATGCGAGGTCTGGCACGTGGAAGACAGCGAGGAGTGACATTTGGTGAGTCAGAAGGTGAATTACATGGGGTCTCTTGTGGTGATTTTGACTTGCGAGTTTTTTTAACATGGCATTTTCTACAAAGTAGATGCTGGTCTTTAGGATAACACTGCTGCTTGCTTGACAACTGAAGTCCACACTCCTGAAAAATATGGAAATAAACTTTTTTTACTCATTGACAGTATTTATTACAGAGGTGGATTAGATGGATTTTTGTAAGGTAGCATAAGGTGCCCCAGCAGACATAGAGAGTAAAAAATGTAAAAGACTAAGTCAGTGACACATGGCACAAAAATTCACTCAAAGACTATGTAACTCTCTCCTTCGGTGCATATAATGATCTTTCTGCTTCACAAATATATAGGAAGACCTACTTAATACAAAGAATCTTATGACATCACAGTTTGCACAAAAACCTGCTGTTTTTGAAAAGATCAAAGCAGTATGAAATCCACCATCACCGAGTGTACAATATTGAAATCTGGTAATTTTATTATTAAAGCATTTTAGCTCTGATTCTTGCCTCTCCTTGTCATGAAATGCTTCAACTACTAACCTCACATCTAAAGCAGTCAATGTGGAAATCTTTCCCCATTGATACCACTCTAAGAATCTCCTCTTTGTTCTGCAAGATATTAGGCAAGCAGCTGTGATGTTATTCTGAACACAAAACAGCTCAAAATAGGATAGCCCAAAACTGATGCACAACAGCTCACCTTCGCAGGGGCAATGAGTTGCTTGCACACAGCACAGGTTGGACAAAATTTTCTAGAACAGTAAAAGAATAACTGTGTTCATTTTCAGTGCTTTTAAAGAAGTGGAGTAATTTTGCTTCAGAATTTTCAATTTACCTTTGGTAGTCAGGAACACAGTATATTCGACTTTCTTGATCCCAAGTAAAGGGGATGCCATCTAATTCTATTTGACAAACTGAACATCTGAAACATGAAGGATGGTAACATCTTCCCAGTGCTTGGATAATCTGTGTGTTTATAAAATTTGAAAATTCTCAATTTCATGACACTATGTGACAATAATATTGTCCCTACTTGCTTACTCTCACATATTCTCAACTTTTTCTTTTCACTTTGATACAGTAATAAATTATTTATGTAACTTTTTTTTAAATTTTATTTTATATTAAAAGAATTTATAATAATTATATAATTTATTTAACTTGCCTTAAGCTTAATTGCCTTTCCACAAGAATGACAGTATTTCATTGAAAGACCCAGCTTCTGCAAAAATAAGGAAAAATAATTGTCGCTCTTCAAGGCTTACTGCAGATATTACCAAATGAACTGCAATTAGCATGTCAAAATTCAACTTGTCACAAAGTTTGAACAAAAATCTGAATTAATTTTCTGTAGGGTACAGTCAAACCTCCATTAACAATCACCTCTCCACAATGGCCACTTTTTTGGTGGAAAGTCTATACATAGCCTGCGAAAACATCCGTTTCTCCTCTCTCTTTGCCGCTGGGGACGTTTCGCACGGAGGAACGTCTGTGACTCAGCAACAGAAATTCCATACTGATGACGTAAAATCTGTCCAGGATCTGGTCAGAAGGGCTGATTGGTCGACGGAGTAGTTTCATTGTTTTAGCTATTGTTTACAAATGACAGACAAAAGACAAAAGGCCACAAAGGTCAAAGGTAAACGCGAAGAATCTCCAACAAAACAGTCAATATTTGTGGAATATAGTCTTCTCTAGAAGAAGCATTTGAATTTTGCTGGAGCTCGTTGGCAGATGAGCACAACACGTTACCAAAATCGACAAGAAGACATGTAAAATTAGACAAATTTATATTTGGAACCCCATGACTACCGGATTTATTATGTAAACATTGATTTGCGTCATCAGTATGGAATTTCTGTCGCTGAGTCGCAGACGTTCCTCCACACACATCATCCCCAGCGGCAAAGAGCGAAGAGAAACATGTTTTCGCAGGCTAGTCCACACATTGACTCTTGTTTCAATACCTCTCTACAATGGCCACCTCTTTACAGCAGCCACTTTCTTCTGTCCCCAAGGTGGCCATTGTGGAAAGGTTCAACTCTGTCTTGTACAAAGTGTCACAGGGCTGTGCTCTTGCAGTTCCCGGTCACCCCTGGTGCCTTATTTTTGCTTCTGGGTGACTAGAAAATCTTAGTTTTTTTCATAAAAAAAATATTATGCTGGGCACCCTGTATTTCACAGGTTCAGAGAACTAGGCTCCCCTCAATTTTTCATAGAACACAGACTTGTGTCTTTAGGCAGTGCAACTTGAGACAATAATAATAGAAAACAAATACCTTGTAATCAGGTTCACAGTAGATTTTTCCATTAACATTATAAAATGCCTGACCAATTAGCTGATTCCCTGAGGAAGTTGATAGATAAATATGAATTTAATGAGTAATAACATTTTATTCACACCACTAATTAAAACTGTTGTCAAAAAGATGTCTGCAGTGTTGTTTACAGGGCTGTCATTAAGTCTTGAAGCAGCTGTAACATCTTACAAAGAATTTAGTGTCTCTGTTAGCTTTTCAGTTTCCACTTTGATTACCTATAACACCAAGTGAGCTCAGCGATAACAGGTGTTATGGGTTAAGCCCTTAATGACGGCTCTGAAATTTATCACTATTCCTAAAAAGCTGCTTGTGGGAGGGGATAATAATTAACTATTTATTTGCATAATTTTTATTTTTAGGTACGTTTCTATTCACTTCTTATCATAGCCTGCGCAGCAGGGGCTTGAAAGTACAGGGCACACGAGTGAGACACACAAGGGTAGAGGGCTCCGTCTCCCCTCTTGTGTCTCTGTCCTGTGCCCCATTTTTTCTTGCATATCGCCTCCAAGCGTCTACTATGCAGACGGACTGTTCTTACCACAGCTGCAGCATAAAAAGCAATGAACATGGTAAAGGTTTTCCATTGCATGGCAAGCTGATTCACAGCCGTTGATTGGCTTCTTGCAACTGTGACACACACCTTAAAGAAAAAATGATAATGAAAACAAGGACAGATCTTGTTTCAAGGTTTCCTGACTCAGAGCAAATTAAGTTTACATTTCATAAAACATGTCTTTGCCAGAGTAGAGAGTAAACAATTTCAATGCTAAAATAACGGCAGCTAGATCTGGAATTCCTTGCATGCACATGCGGTCCAAAAAGAAGAGGTGGCTGAATATGAACCTGTAATTGCTTAAAAGAACCTTACCATTCCCAGATAAAATCAGAAATGCAAATTTAGTATTTTATTAAATTAGCAAAGGTGCAAGGGGAGGGGAGGGTGCTTAGGGAAGGATATGGAGAATGTAAGTCCTACCCCACCCCCCTCCTAGCTTTGTTACAAACCCTAGTTGTATTATGTTTATTGTAGTACGGCCACAAGTTCATTTTGAACAGCTCCTGATGTTGACTTTTTATATATTAATTTATTAGCAGATTACCAACATCCCTTGACAAGCTCTGGTCCAATTTTGGAGATTAGAAAGTGCATTATAATATAATTTCTATGACACACAAATTACCAAAAGCATTTCCTTATTCTTTATTAAAGTTATAAAGGGAAAATAATTTAAGCTGTCACAGCCATATTTCTTTCTAGCACCAAACCATCACTTGAACCTGAAAACAATCCCACAACAAAATCATGAAGTCATGCAGATGTCTCTGGCTTCTAGTTTTTATGTTGCAAGCAAACAAAAAGCTTCAATGAAAGATAATGGCATGAATGGAACAGAATATGTTAACTACTGTTCAAACCACAGGACAAGAGGGAGCAGTTAAGAAAAACAAACAGCTTATTCTTCTAGAAAACCCAAAGGGATCCTAATGAAGGACAGCATTTCATGCTGTTTAATCCCATAAAGTCATGGAACAATCAGATGATTATATTCACGTAAACAATGCATTACCCTTCTGCCAAGAGTTCTGACTTAGATATGTTACCTGAAAATTGGCAAGTCTGCTCACTGTGTTCCATTAGAGTTGTTAAAAAGTTGGTTAAGCACTCTCAAGAAATGCTTTGCATTTGCTTGGGCAAAAACAGCTAAATCTTGCAGACATAACCAGCAGACATCATGACCTCATGTTAACCTCTGTTTGAGTGATTAGCTTCAACTGATGAGACTTAAGTTAATCTAAACAGTCATTGGTCTTTCTTAGTGCCTTAAAAATACCAAATTTCACTTTAAAAATATCATCACAACCGAATAGCATCAAATAAGCATCACTGTTCGACACTTTTATTTGAATGGTCACATTGACAGGTGAATTTCAAATTTTAAATATTATGCTAGTTGATTGATACTTGTGAAAGGGCTAAACTTACAATTATCACTGAGTAATAAATGAAAAACCCATCATCTAGAGCAGCATTTTCTGTTTTCTATTGTTATGGGAAATTCAAGCATGCAAAACATGAAAATGTCATGAGATTATCCATGAAGGATCAACAGATCTAAGTGGTTTGAAAATTATTCAAAATTTGCCTGACATGTATGAAACAAAAGTGTTTTCATGTAAAAAGGGAGGGGGGGGGGG